TTTATAGATAATTCATATGGTGAAAGAGATGGACAGACAACCTGCAGTGTGAGGACCTGACCTATTAAAACAGATTAACATTTGAGATGCCATTTACTGGATTAACAACTCGTGGCAGGAAGTACAAGAATCCACAATCCAGAAATGTTTTCAAAAAGCAGGTTTCTATTTGATATCACCTGAGGAAAATTGTGTTTCACAAGTTGTACCCAATACTGAAGCAGATGATGATATTCCTCTGATTGTACTAAAACTGTCATATGATCTTTTTTGATGTTCTTTTTGTGATCTTGTCACCATAGATAAAGGTATACAAACATGTGACACAAATGAAACTGATTGGGAAAGGCCAGCTATTGATATTTTAAATGAATTAAACCAATGATGTGAAAGTGATAGTGATGAGGACATTGATGACAGTGATCATTCAAGTTCAACCAATAAGCCCTCAATTGCTGATGCAACAAACATGATAAATCAATTAAAAACATTTGCTCTTCATTCAGGACAATCCACAGTGCTTAACTTAGTATCAAAACTTGTTGATGAACTGTCTTCTTTTGTGAGCAAAAGCAAAGAGCAATAAAAAATTACTGACTTTTTTGAACGACCCCAGTGATGTGCAATAATTTTCTTTAACAAAAAACAGTGTAAGTCATATGCAGTCATTTTTATATAGTTTTAGCAGATTTTAAACATGAACATGTCTATTCAGTAGCATTTAATTATTTTATCATGTAGAATTTATGCATAAAATGATTTTTTTTTAACTCTGTATTTTTCATATAATTATTCACCAATATTTTATTACAGATGTACAGTATCTTTTAAAGAAGTCTTTTAAAATAGAGAAAGTTTTATCAAATGTATATATTTTACAAAATAAGTCTTAAGATCATCTTAAATATATTAGATGTATGCTGTTTATCAAAGTAATAAATATATAACTTATAATATATCTGTGTCTTACTCATGTTGCTAAATTAATGTAAACACAAGTTCAGTCAAAAATAGTTGAGACTGGATTTAAAGACTCCCTGTCATATGTGACCTTTTTTGTGAAGTCCCACAGAAGGTCACATATGACAGTCTCGACTGTATTTAAATCCTGAAAGAGTGAAGAATGTATAATAAAAAAAAACGTATGTTTGCAAACTACTGACATTTTATATATATTATATCTTATACAAACATGTTTTTTTCAGAGTCATACAAAAAATGTTTATCTTAGTTGGCATAAGATCAGCCCAATCCTTATAAGTAAGTAAGTAAATTTTATTATAGTGACACTGTGTAATGCACAATATAAGAAACGTACATATAATAAATTATAACACTCGGTCACGTATGGCTTATAAATCACTTTAAACTATATGTACAATTTATACAATTATAAATCTCATGTCTATATACAACAATACTAGTCCGACACCATTTTATAACTATCTAATAAGTTATAATAAAGGCTGAAAACACATTTACATTTGTTTCTCACACATGATTCCCATTTAAAGTTCACATATTGTGTCATTCCAATCCCAATCTATATCTTTGTATAAATGTAAACAATTTTCACGCCTGTATCCATTTGGCTCGATTGGACCCCAATTACTAAAAACAATTCTTGCTTTGCTGTTTTCCCAGATCCACGATCCTTCGTTCTGCAGGTCACTCCCTCCTATCCATACCCCATAACTACCTGCGAACATTGATTTTGATAGATAAGTGATAAATGTATTTTCATTGTTGTCTTCAATTTGAACCAAGAAGCCGTCTAAAGCTTTACAACAGTCAACTGCTTGCGACCAATTTACTGATTCTTTGCCTGTGAAATAAAACGAGTTACCGAAAATATACCACACATTTTGCGATAGATTCCTTTGTGCTTCAATGTGTCTTTCTTTAGTCATTACCTCATTCATTTGTACAAGCCTAGTTTCATAAGCTTTATTGGCTTACTTTGATTTCATTTATCTCATTTGTGATATTATTGAACATAACGATAATTTTGGCTTAAGTTATTTATAACTTTGGTCTCCAGTTCAGAAATTGATCTCCGTGCAATAGATTTATCTTCAGAAAGTGTGCGCTTCATAAAAACCCTCATCATGGCAATTCTTTCCCTTGTTGTCCTGGCATTTTATCTCTTCAAATTGTGGAATACTTCCTTCAGGTCAGCATAAGATGTGTTATATTTCATGTTCAATATCGCTATGTCTTCTCGAAATTCTTTTGAATCCTGGAACAGTTTTTCTTCCAGATTATCAACCCAGTTTTTAAGTCTTTTATAATTTGAACATTTTACAAATGCAGTAACAATAAAAACAAAAGTAAAGCAATCCAAGCGAAACATGTTGTGTTGTTGTAAACTCGTCAAACGCGTATTGGTAAATGAAACATAGCTTTGAAAAAGGTCGCTATATCTCTGCATTAACTTTAGGCCAAGCTTAGTAAAACACGTTTCTTCGTAATGTTTATTACATATTGCAGAAATAACCATTTCACTTGTTCATTTGCTATAACCATATAACCATCAAGACATCACTATTTTTTTTCAATCATTTAATATGTAAATGCAGTAAAATTATGCCTGTATATGTAAGGGCTGTTTTAAGTTCAAATCGTTAAAACAAAACGTTTGAAATATTTATGCAGGTTTGTACATTTTATCTAAAATAAGGAATTATTTAATATTGAATAAATAGTATTAATAAAACAGATAAAACAATCCCCGAACCAAAAGAGTCGATGAAAAGATTGGAACAATTCTCGATATTGATACTTAATTTTTGCGTGTAGTATTAACAAAACTTGTTGAGATACTTCTATTGCGTTTTAATTGGCCAGGCCAAAATAAAACACGTTTCATAACAATTATTTGTTTTTGCTATAAAAAACATAATTTAATTTACAAATTAATTTTCCGAAATAAAAATAAAATTACATAAATGAAAATAAAATAATTCAATTTGATTGCATTTGTTCGCTCCTCATTTTTCCCATAGTCCAATATTAATTCACATTAAATTAACAAATTTTTATGTACTTCATAAGGATCACCGCAAATGTATATTTTTGACCGTTTGAAGCAAAACTCGTTTTTGTTTTCTCGTTAAAGCGATAAACAATTTTCAATACATTTTGTTTACACAGTAGCATTCTTATTTTTTTCGATTCAGAGTGTACAAAAATTATACAATCATGCAGCATTTTACCTTAGTTTATTGATATTTAAATATGGCAACAAAAAGACAATTTTGTATCTCGCAATGCTTCTTTTATAACATGTAGGGTATGTAAGTTCATCTCCTTGACATATAACTCAATAAAGCATTATCATATTAATATTATAATATTATTGTGACAAGCGTTTATTAAATGTACTTGTAGGAGCATTTTTCAGTCCTAGATATGCATGTATATAATCCATCAAGCATAAGTTACCTATAAACAAACCTACCTACAAACCGCTGGGCCGCCAACTTAAGAAAATTGATAAAATATGTTTTCTTCAAAATGAATTTTCCTGTACATACGAGTATATCCTCTAACTAACTTCAAGTAACAAGAATTTTCGTTAGGATATCATTTATTGCCGTTTTATTTATTTCTACAACATTTAAATTTAGGCGATCAAGCCGCTGGGTTGCTAGGCCGTCAACTTCAGGCCGCTGGGCCGCTAGACTGCCAACTTCACACCGACAGGCCGCTGGACCGCTAGGCTGCCAACTTTTCGTCGTCAGACAGCTGGACCGTTAGGCCGCCAAAGTCACGCCGCCAGACCGCTCGACCGCCAAATTCACACCGCTAGATCGCTAAATCGCCAACTTCACACATCTGAACCAAAAGCGTGTTACTTGAATGAAAATTAATTTTGCAGTAGTTGTATCGGAGGATATTATATTTTATAACAAGTTATTTTATTATATCTTGTTTGTAGTTGAAGTAAACCAACTTCCATGGAAACAGAAAAAAGCCGGTCCTGAACTGACTGTAAACATGTTTAACATATTTTTATGTGAAACTTTTTTCTCAAATGAGAGATAGGGATCTGTTTATTCCGAACATCCTGTTCCATAGCCAAAGGCCAAACACATTGTTTTATCATCTAGTAACCAGTTTGATTCTTCAATTTTACGAGTTATCCTGTACGCTGAAATCATTACGAAACATATTATAAGATGAGTTACAGTTTCAGTTTTTATTTGGAAAATCGGCATATTTATCATACCTTTGGCCAATTAAACAAATACAATTGACGAATGTTGCTAAGACATATAGCATCATTTACAATGTACAAGATAAACAAATAAACATATAAGCAAACATGTACATTTACAAAATTTAAGAAGCAGACATATCTTCCTAAACTAGAAAGCCTCATATTTGTATTTTGCAGTTTTATACAGCTTACATTCACTACTATAAGACATAATATTTACATATTTTTTACATTAGGCCAAGAATATAGGTAGATAAAAGCAATAGACAAGAGTATAAGATTGCATATTTTTAGAAAGAAAAATCAAGTTTTTGTCAACAAACTTCTGATATTCATTAATAAGTATCTTAACAAAAAGGTTAATAATACATGCAGTAAATAAGTAACTTTATCGAGAATTTTTCCAATCATTTTATCGACTCTTTTGGTTTAGTAATTATCTTTCCTTTCTAATAACACTAGTCATTTAATATCAAATAATTCTCTCTTTTAAATTAAATGTACATCATAAATATTTCAAACGTTCTGTTTTTTCGATTCGAACTTAAAACAGCCCTAACATACAGGCATAATTCTAATGCATTTACATATAAAATGAATTGAAAAAATAAGTGCTGTCTTGGTGGCTATAGCAAAGGAACAAGTGAAATGGTTATTTCTGCAATATGTGATAAACATTACGAAGAAACGTGTTTTACTAAGCCTGGCCTAATATGCAAGGACATAAAGACTTTATTCCTCAAATCTTTGATTCAATTACCAATACAAATTTGACCAGTTTACAACGACACAACATGTTTCACTTAGGTTGCTTTACTCTTGTTTTTATTGTTACTGCATCTGTGAATTGTTCAAATTATGAAAGACTTAAACACCGGGTTAATAATCTGGAAGAACAACTGTTTCATAATTCAAAAGAATTTCGAGAAGACATAGCGCTATTGAACTTGAAATACAACACATCGTATGCTGACCTGAAGGAAAGTCTTCCACAACTTGAAGAGAGAAAAAGCCAGGACAACACGGGAAAGAATTGTCATGATGAGGTTCATGACAGCTTGGTTTTTATGAAGCGCACACTTTCTGAAGAAAAATCTATTGCACGGAGATCAATTTCTAAACTCGAAACCAAAGTTATGAATAACTTAAGCCAAATTATCGTTATGTTCAATGATATCAAAAACGAAACTAGGCTAGAACAAAAGAATGTGGAAAATACTGAAGAAACTTGTAACCTCAAAATTGATAAAATTACAGAGGAGATAATGCGAATGTCTGAGATGCTTTCAAGACACGTTGAAGCACAAAGGATTCTATCGCAAAGCTTATGGCACATTTTCGGAAACTCATTTTATTTTATCGGCAAGGAATCATTAAATTGGTCGCAAACAATTGACACTTGTAAAGCTTTAGACGCCTACTTGGTCCAAATTGAAGACAGCAATGAAAGTAAATTTATCACTGACCTAGTAAAACCAACATTCGCAGAAAGTAATGGCTTCGGAGTATGGATAGGAGGGAGTGACCTGCAGAACGAAGGATCGTGGATCTGGGAACATAGCAAAGCAAGAATTGTTTTTAGTAATTGGGGTCCAAACGAGCCAAATGGAAACAAGCGCGAAAACTGTTTACATTTATACAAAAGTAAAGGTTGGGCTTGGAATGACGCAGGCTGTCATGCTAAAATGGGATTCGTATGTGAGAAATAAATCTAAATGTGTTTTCATCTTTATTATTACTTATAAGATGGTGTCGGGCTAGTTTTGCTGTGTATATAGGCATGAGATTAATAGATATCAATGTGATTTTTATGACATGAATCAACTATGATAAACATAGTTTTTGTGAATGTCTCTGAAAGAATGTTTGTTTTTGATAAAATGTATATAAAATGTCATTATTTTTCAAACATACGACTCTATTGGTATACAAACTTTGTTTTCGTTTCATTATACATTCTTCACTCTTTCAGGATTTAATTAACATACATACAACCGCAGGAACAATACTTTTACGTATTTTATAGAAATATTTTTGTATGTTTTTCATCTGTTTAACAAAATAATACAATAATTGTAATTATGACTTACGTAGAGCTTAATTAGCATACAAACAACAGCAAGAACAATATTTTTGCGTATTATAAAAATATTTTTGTATGTTTTTCTTCTGATATTATTTTGTTTAACAAAAAAATTACTGTTAACATGACTTGCGGTTAATACAGTGGAGAACATTCTGCAAGACTTTAATTAAGATTATTCTTCACTTCCTTGTTCACTTAGATTTAAAGATCATGGACAAGGTCAGGACCAGATATAAAAACTGAAATGTTCTCCATTCTTTAGTCTCATAAAGTAAACATATGTATATTGAGTAGATAAATTTGAACTTGGAATAGAATGGTTATGGTAATTTGGAATAAACATGTTGATTATTATTTAATAAGATGTTTGAATTCACAGTTGATACAAATATTAAACCTTGAGTCTAAAATTGATCCTTTTTGATCCGATTTTTTTTGTTTATTTAATTCCAAAATAGGTTTTTTGTACAAGTCAGGATTTCTTTTACATTTTGTTTATGCCTAGTAAATTGAAAATAAAATTAGATAAATTAAAATGTTATAATTATAATATGGAAATAAAATCAGACTCATTTGATCCTGATCCTAAACTTATCTTAGTGAATAATTATTTTGGTAGACACTAAATCTTTGATGTTACACTGATGTTATGAAATGTTTGCTCTGCATTGTATATGCGCCTTATTTCATTTTACATTATTAGATGTATTGACATAATTGAGCCGCGTCACGACAAAATCAACATAATGCGTTTGCGACCAGCATGAATCCAGACCAGCCTGCCTATCCGTGCTGTCTGATCAGGATCCATGCTGTTCGCTATCGGTTTCTCTACTTGTTATAGAGTTGGTAAGCGAACAACATGGATCCTGATCAGACTGCGCGGATGTGCAGGCTGGTCTGGATCCATGCTGGTCGCAAACGCACTATGTTGGTTTTGTCGTGACGCGGCTCATATAGTTTAATACTTATTTCAATTACTTTACTGTAACAGTTATAAAACAGGCCTTGAAATTGCATTGGTTAGTTAACAATCTATTTCTAAGCATTTATTCAATTAACAATACTAAACAAATTTATTTTATTTGATATCAGTCCTTGTATTGACATATTAACAGAGGTTGGACACTTCGTAAAGGTTTTCTCAATATGATAAATGACTTAAAAATTGACTTGCACTTGAAATGGGCTATAACGTTTGAATATCTTGATAATATATACTAGGACTGTTGCTTACATGAATACATTTAAAAATGTATATGTCATGCAATGAAAACGGTCTTGTTTCGGTAATTAATTTGATATTTCATTTTTACATGTTTTGTTATCATTTAAAAATTTTGCTTAACGGTAAATGTTTTATGTTTCAAATTTGCCAAAAGCACACAAGTATTTTGTTTCAATGTTTGCTGTTGTATTTTAATGTAATAATAAATATCAAAATATATCCTATAGATATGATAAGCTTAATAGCCATCTGCTCATTCAAAAATGTATTTTGTAAATAGTGTTCACTTGTTAAAGGTCATGTTGATAAAATATGTTTAAACCAAAAAATATCCTGACGAGAAAAAACTTAAAATTCGAATATTATAGGCCGCAAAAACGGTACAGATGCGAATGTATTGTGAATGTTGCAAGCTCTATCTGATTAAGCTTGTCCATAAAAATCATACCATTCAGGGATATCTTAAAGTGTAGCGTGTCTTAAAACATTACACTGTTTTAAAATTACACATATCTTAAACTCTTAATGTGTTACATTTTTTTAAATGGCACGTATCTTAAAATGTAGTTTATATTAACATGAAGCGTAGCTTAATGTGCCGCGTAACATAGCTTATCATAAAGTGTAGCGTATCTATTACTAAAGTGTTGCGTATTTTTTAAGTGTAGCTTATCTTAAATCTAGTGTAGCGTATATTAAAGTGTTTAATATTTAAGTGTAGAAGTGTATCTTAAAGTGTAGCGTTTATTTAAGTTCAGGGTTCCAAAAAGTGTTAAGAATAAGAGTTGGGTACAGCTTAAAGTAAAGCGTATCCTAAAACGTTGTATTTCTAAAACGTTGCATTTCTTAAAGTGAAGCGTATCTAAAGGCGAGTAACTTTTGACGTTTCAAATAACGTTAGTTGTTTGAAACCATCATAATTTGTGTGAAGTACATTCGCCTAATTGAATTGTAGTGCTTTCGTCATCAGTTAATTTTCATATTGAATAAAAATTAAGTAGGAATACTGGATTGAGTTTCGTCATATTCGATTTATTTCGATATTCTGTTCAAGAACAGTCTCATTTAACGACCCTGGGATCCAAATATTTTATTTTTTTATTTTTTAGTATGTAACCAACTTTAAGATATAATTGTTCTTTAGAATTTTGATTGAATGGTGTTATGTTATTTGCAACAAGCAATTCAGAATAGTGTTGTCATTTAAATCTTTGTCCAGGTATGTTGTGTAAGAAAATGTGCTCGTGTGAAAATGCTGCAAGAAAACATTTTTTATGAACAATATTTACATGTGTTCTTAGAATTCTGTTTCGTAGAACTTTATATATATTCTCAAATATTTTCCACATATTCTGATGTAATAGATCATATACAAATAAAGAAAGAAAACCTTTATTTGCTTGCTTTTATTGAAATGTTGTTTATTTGTTTAAACCACTATTTGATACTGGTAGATAATAAATATAAGCTCCCTTAGGGAGAGTATGTAGTCTCCGAATTGCCCGTCCTTCCGTCCGTCCGCATTTTCTTGCCCAGGGCATAACTCTGAAACTACAAGAGGTATCAATTGAAACTACAAGAGGTTTCAACAAGAAACTTTATAAGTAGAAAGATCTCTTTGAGTGGAAGTGCAGTGCACAATAACCGTAACTCTGCCTTGTCTTATTTGGAACTATTGCCCTTTTTCAGTTTTTACCTTTATTCTACCTATTCGGACAGCATGACCCGATTCGACCGGCTCATATTTGTTGAACAAAAGTCAATCAAACATCGACCGAGTCCAGCTGGATTAGAAACACAGGTCCCTTGATTGCCTTTTCAGAAGCTAACCACTACATCACTATGACATTAAAGCGTTTTTCGTGCATTCTAAAGTGAGTTTAGCTCTTACGATATTGTGACGTAATATTGACTACCAGAGCGACAAGTTATCTATAGCTTCGTATCATTGTTATGGACACATTTTCTTAAGATGATTTCGTATAAGACAAACAACAGTTTGTATAATATCATCGCAGCTCATAAATAAAAGTCATGGGTGAAAAAAGTGAAATAAAATATCGGCTAGGTTAAGCCGGGTTCCGAAAAAAAGGGTTCCGCTCCAGTATCCTAAACCACTACACGTTATCGCAACCACAGTAAATCATATAACAAACTTACAATACCTTATTCTCACTTTCTTTCGTATATATGATAAACTGTAAGGAAATGCGAAAAGACCAACACTTAAATACATTTTTTAAGTGCTCCAAATTGAAAAAATCATATTCTACTTTTTTCTTAGGTAACTTATGCTTGATGGACATGCATACCTGTAAACCTAGGACTGAAGATTGTTATAAAATAATAACATATAAATAAACGCTGGTCACTTTCACAATAACAATATTTTCATAACATGATAATATTAAGGCGAGGGTCAAAATAAAATATGTATATAAGAACGCCTTTCGGTGTCAAAGATTTTTAG